TGGTCACTCGAGCGGTAAAATTATGATGCCCCACGTGTTTTGCAGCAAACTACACAGTCGTTCGATTTAAAAGTTAAACATATTAAGGTTTCCCGTTTTGTTAGCATTCCCGGGAACTGATTTATGGGGTTTAACAGAGAAGACACTTTACTTTCCACGGTTATGTGCCCCGAATAACCTGTCTGCTTTTCAATTGGCCTTTCCTCTAATCCCCTGCCTATTTACATCGCGCTTCTCGAAGTGCCTTTTTTGAGGCTCCGTATCTATAACGTCAAGAATCATGGCGAAGGGAGCCACCTCACAGTTATTTTCCGGGAATATCTACGTTTACTGTCTCCAAAGGCAATGAAAGAAACGTGCCGCAGCAAAAGTATCATATTCAGGGGATCTAGGTTGGACACTCGGGCGAGGAAGTCGGCGATATCGCCGACTTTTTCGTCGAGTGTTCAACTTAGATCCCCATGACGCCTCATAAACTCGCCCCAAAAGAGTAAGCCTGGCACCATAAGCAGATCTCACGCAGCCGCAGAAGAAAGCTCCTACACAGAAAACCCCCGCCGCTTCCAGCGAGAGAGAAAGAGGGGGAGAGGGAGAAAACGGAGTACATAAAGAGAGACCCCGAGGCGTTCCTAAAATTACTTTTCCGTTTCGTCATTCGTTCTGTCATTTCCCTGCCAGGATTGCGCAAGGAATGAGGACCGGGGGCTCTGAGAGTACATATACACTCGGGCAAACGGTCTTGAAGGGATCCATGGAGAATAGAGGAGCGCACCTCATATCCCCAGGAACAAACAAAGAGGTAGCAGTGACAGCAACAGAAACAAACAAAGCCAAGTCACCAGTGTGGCGGATTCTTTACAGTCGATAGCCCGCGTGCAAGAGCCGTTATAACTTGGGTTCTTAAAGCTCCATCGTCATTTTCTACGTCAAGTGACAGACAGTAAAAAAAGAAAAAAAGGGTCTAAGAGAAGCAATTTTCGTGACTGCACTTCGGTGGGATCTTTCTGAGACATCTTTTATGCTTCGGGGCTTTGGCAGAGCTCGTCGTGCCAACTCTTCTGTCTCGCAAAATCCCGAGCTTGAGCAATGCTTCGCTGTTATAGTTTTTTTCTTAGCTGTCTGGGAGAAATGCGAGTTAGAAGAAAAAAAGACAATCGAGCGGAACGAATTACCGGACAGATAAATGTGAAGCAGGAAACCTTGGTTTCACATTAAAGCTGCCGTGTTTTCTGCGGACTCAGAAACAAAACGCCTGTCCTACTATCCAAAAAAAAAAAAAAACAGTGCGTGAGTTCGCTTTTGAGTCAGGCTAAACGAGAACAAATCATGAGAAGCAGTAGATGGATCCCAGCAAGTGACAAATTTCATAATACGGCCAGACAAAAAAAAAAAAAAATAAAAAAAAACATTCTGCAGTCGACCGTTATGCACAATGTCCCTGCGCATTTTTGTTTTGTCTAATCACATTTTTAGGTTTGTTATTTGCTAGGACCCTCCTATTGTTAGTCGTGATTTGTTGTCTCGTGTTCTGCAGGAAAGCTAACCCACATACCTTTTTGTTTCGATTGTATGTCTGTATAGGAATAGAAAAGTCCGACGGTCATCTCTGGGCGCCGCTTCAAACTCTCGAGATAGTGGCATGCGTCGAAGCTACCGGAGCCACAGATATCTCGCACCTGAGTTATCTTCGGCTCACTTCACATGTCGGAAACCTTAGGTAGTATAAACTAAGAAAGAGCGCGACAATGCCTTAAGATTTCAAATGCGTGTACACGTTACCGAAATAAATTGCCTAAATACCGTAACTCGCTACTCACTCAAAGAATTAGCTAAGTACGGTAATCGTTAATGCGATTCGAAAGCAACGCGTTACCTCAGTTTGAAAGTAACGCGTTGCTTTCTGGTTGCTCTGAATGAGTCGTCCTTCCGAAGCAGTAGCCGCGCTTCCAATATTTGTCGGCGTCAATAACTAATATACTTTTTAACCCGTTCATTCAGGAATTACTGTGACATAGTGCCGTACCTTGTGTACATCTTGTAGGATCTATCCAGCGCTTTCTCGTCGTGCAAATTACAAGCGCGGGCATGGGGGAGAACTAAGTTGAGCGTTTGTGTCGAGCACGTTCCCTTTCAAAAGTAACGAAATGCCGTTACTCGTTATTTCACCAAAAAAAAAAAAAAAAATAACGAAAATACGTTACTCGCTCCTTTTCTTAAAAAAAAGTAACTGAGCCGTTATTTCTTTACCAAAAAAAAAAAACAACTGCAGATAAATACAAGTCACGCGTTACCTGTAACGCCTTACATACAAGTCTACTCAAGACATGCTGGTAAGGAGGTGGCTAAAAACAAAATTCTGAACAGCTTACATTTTGCTTACAGTGTCTGTAAAATGTTTTTTACTCTATCTTTTCGTTTTGCTTGCACACATAATAAAGATATTCATGATCAGATATTTCGTTTTATTTTATTTTTACTTTTCCCAGTAAAACAAATTACAGACGTTCACACTTCTCTATACCGTGGTAGAAAATTTGAGAGAAATTATATATATATATATATATATATATATATATATATATATATATATATATATATATATATATATATATATATATATATATATAGAGTGTTTTTTTTAAGCTAAACAGATTTGTTCAAACAAATCCGTGAAAGCTACACTTATGCCGCTTGTGGAGGTGAGTTATATGGCCAGAGGGACATATTATAGGGGGCAAATCGTAACGATCAGTCGGCTAACTAATTAAAATTTGTTAATTAACTTTTTAATTAATGATAATAGACATATGGTTCAAATTAGAAACTTGCTCAGAATCATCGAAAACCACTAAATCAGTAATTTTTAGAAAGACTTTCAGCGAGTGAGAAGCGTAGTAGTGCACTAAAGTTACCACTCTTTGAGCAGGTACAAAGCTAGCGGTTGTACATGCTCCACGAGTGGTAAATTTGGTACAATACTACGCTTCTCACGCGCCAAAAGTCTTTCTGAAAATGACTGATTTAGTGGTTTTCGATGACAGTGAGCAAGTTTCTAATTGGAACCATATGTCTATTTTCATTATTAAAAAGTTAATTAACAAATTTTAATTAATTAGACGATTGATCGTTACGATTAGCCCCCTATAATATGTCCCTCTGGCCGTATAACTCACCTCCACAAGCGGCATAAGTGTAACGTTTACGTCGCTTTTAAACAAATTTGTTAAGCTTAAAAAAAACACCCTGTATATATGTGTGTGTGTGTGTTTCTTTGTTTAAGGGTAGGCCAGGGAGGACGAGGAGGGTACGGTGGGAGCCCCATAATGCAAAGCGTGCGGTGTTTGTTTCAACGGGAAACGTTTTTGGCTCATTGCTCCGGGTTTCGTGAAGCCGCATCTCGTGAAGCCGTTGCCTGTGACGTCACATGACGTCACAGTTTCCCTGCTAAATATAGCTGAAAAATATGACGCCGCGCGACGGCAACACCAGTTCAATTTCCCGTATAAATTTAGCGGGGAAAATGGTGTCACATGACTTCGTGTCACGTCACCTACGAACAAATTCAGTTTCCCCGCTAGATTTAGTGGCAAAATTGATGTCACGTGACCTCAACACCAATTCAGTTTCTCCGCTAAATGTAACAGCAAAAAAGTGAAAGCCGTTTACAACTCCCTGTAACGCCGAATTAGAGTGCAGCTCTTGAGGAGGAGGACGGAAGGGTACTGGGGGGGTCAACTGACCGGGGGGGGGGGGGGGGGTCACGTGATGATGACAATGCCGATGATGTAATCAGCGACGTCACTGATGACGTCATCAGTGATGATGACGATGACAATGCGGATACCGGTGACGTCATCAGTGACGTCATTGATGAAGATGCGGATGCCGGTGACGCCATCAGTGACGTCACTGATGATGTCATCAGTGATGATGACGATGACGATGCGGATGCAGGTGACGTCATCAGTGACGTCACTGATGACGTCATCAGTGATGATGACGATGCGGATGCCGGTGACGTCATCAGTGACGATGAAGTCATCGGGGGGTCACGTGACCTTGGGGGGTCACGTGACCTTGGGGGGTCACGTGACCTTGGGGGGTCACGTGACCTCAGGGGAGTCACGTGACTTCGGGGGTCACGTGACCTCGGGGAGGGGGGAGTCACGTGACCCCGGAAGGATCATGTGCCCCCCCCCCCCCTCAAGGTCACGTGACCCCGGGGGGGGGGGGGGCTCGCGCGGTGCATTATGGGTCATTTCCCATAATGCACAGCGCGGTTACGCCGACGCCGACGGCAACACCGACGCCGCTCAACCCGGAAACGGGCCCCTAAGAGCTGCGCTCTAAAAATGATGTCACACGACTTCATGTCACGCGACTTATACACAAAGTCGGTTTCCCCTCGAATTTTGCGGGAAAACTGATGCCACATGACCTCAACACCAATTCACTTCTCCGCTAAATTTAGCACGGAAACTCAATTGGTGTTCGGGTCATGTGACGTCAGTCTTGCCTCAAAATTTGCGGAGAAACTGAATGCGCAGTGTCGCATCATGGGACATCACAGACCTACACACCAATTCAGTTTCTTTGCTACATTTAGTGGGGAATTGAATCGGTGTAAAGGTCTGTGACGTCCCATAATGCAGCGAGCGCGGTTACGCCGACAGCGACGCCGACGCCGCTATATCCCACAAAAAAAAGAATTATTATTATTATTCTACGCGGAGATGGGCGCCTAAGAGCTGCGCTCTAAAAAGAAAAGAAATGGTGGGGGCTGTAAGGACGCCAGTCAAGTATTTCGTTGCCTTTATTCACCTCTTGACTTAATCCCCCGTAAAATCGACATCAACCCCGCACCCGTTTCCATGAAACCGAAAAATAAATGGCGACAACTGACAAATAACTGACCTAATCGCCGACAAAACACTCGCAAGAACGCGGTTAAGCATAGATGCGCACGACTTGTCCTAAAAGTGAGAGACGCCAATACTTACGTTTGCCGAGAAAGTACTTGAAGTACCAGCGCGTCTGATACTCTGGATTCTCCAAAACAGGCGTGCTGGGCGATCCAAACAGCTGCAAAACAAGAAAAGACAAAAAAAAAAAAAAAAACACGACTGTGTGAACAGCTTTCTGGCTGAACCCCTTTTCAACTACGGATCAGCACGACGCAGACGGGCAGGACGGGCGCTTATAGTGGTTGTGCTTGGCAGGAGGCGGCGCTGACGCATTGTGCAATAACAACAAGTGTGTCAGTTGCATTCCTTTCCCCGAAACATTCGACAACATAATTACTCCAACCACAACACTGACGTCTAACACATCAAACTTGTATTGTCTCTGCTTTGGGTTAGTTCTAATCTCATCTACTTCGAGCAAACATTCTCGACAACGACAAACAGAACTAAAGAGGTTCCTTTCTTCTTCGGAAGAACTAAGGACCAGCTACCTGTACCGCGAAAACTACGAGTGCTTCGAGCACATTCCACAGCCTCCGCCCCCCCTCCCCCCCTCCCCCCTTCCGCACACACAGGAATCTTTACTAAGGTATCTAACGACAAACTACTCTAACCGGAGCATCCCTCGGCAGCCAGTGAAGTCAACTTTCTTCCTGTTACTTCCGCTGACGTTAGGGAGTCTCTAATAAAAGGTAGCCTGTTCAAAGCAGACTCCATAAAGCGAGCCCGATTCGGACGGAAGACCAGCAGCGCCACTGGAAGCGTCGGGATGCGGCAAACAGAGAAACTATATGTTTACTTTGAGGGCTTCCTCGGTCGGCACTCTCGTGAGCCGGCTTGCGGAGCTCTAAGCGGGTGCCGAAAAGAAGGGAGGAGAGAAGGGGATCAATGGAGGAAAGGGTAGGAAAGAGCTCAGAAAAAAATGGCGACATCAATGAAAGCTGTTCCCTTTCGGAGTACATCCCCCATTCGGACGAAGCTCGTTTTCGTCCGCCTGGTCAATAAAGAGGGCAGAGATCGAGTCGCAGCAGAGCCACTAAGCCGACGACTCGCTAATGGCCGCCGCGGTCTGCTCCGCAGGGCGGCGCTGATGAGAGGATGTGGCACCGTAAAAGAGCGGAACTTTTTTTTTTTTTGTTTACGCGTTGCTGGTACGACAAGAAGATAATAATAATATTAATGATTTTAAAAAGGCTTCGTTGAAGGGAAGTTTGAAGAGACGAGAATATATGAAGGGCGAAGATGGAAAAACACGATTCAAATCATTCAAGTTGACCGAACGAATGCTGCTTTTCCGAGTCCGTTTCAGAGGCCGTCAATAGCGATCTAAGAAACGTCTCAGTGGCAGCAATTGAGGGCGACGGTGGAGATTGCTTTGAACAGTCGGGAATTTTTTTTCCGGAACACTTTATCGAGAATTCGAAACAAACGAATAATCACTAAAAATGAAAAGGCTCAGCGGAAAGATTGGGCATCGATCCGAACGTTGTAAGTGTCAACAACACTATATTCCGCCCAGAGTTGATGCCGTTCGTTTTCTGCCTAAGTCAAACCGAAGTTTGGCAAATACAGAAGTGCAAAGAAAACTAGGGCATACTTTTTTACGTATACCGATCGTGCGGTTCTCTAAAATAAACAAACGCACTTGACCCAAACACATTTCTTTGTATTAGTTTTTATCGTATATTCAGTTCTACATTTGCCTTTGTTGAGATGAAGATTGGGACAATTCCTTATTTTGCTTTCTTCGCCGTCTATTGTCAACGAAACCCGCAGGCAATTTCAACAGTAGGCTACCATGGCAGAAACTACGTCGGGTAAAATAGGAACTAAAACACAATGAAATGTAAAGCAAGAAAAAAAAAAAAGGAGAAATCCCGAAGGAAGATTCTTTCGGGATTTCCATTCCATATCTGAGGAAATAGGGGAAACAAAAAATAACGGTTCAAAGCTTTGCATGAAATATGAGATTTCAGGAGGCCGGGTAAATACTCGGCGTGATTCAACGACGAAATTTGGTTTATGTTACAAACGAATGATTGTTTAGACTGGGAGAATGATGTGTATCAATCAAGTTATCCCTGTCGTGGTAAAAACAGCCCAGCAGATTAATAAAAAATAAAAAAATCGCGCATAAACTAAAGTATTTTTAATTTTTTTTTCGGGCAGAATTACACAATCATAAACGAAGTAAAAATAAAAATAAAACAACGAAATAAAAAGAAACAGCAAAAAAGAGAAGCTCCGCTGCTGACATTTAATTAAAAATTAACTATAATGGATTTGACTTGCATGATCGCGTGTGGACCGGGAAACATATCCATTTTGCCAAATTATGACAGATTTGAATATTAATATGAGGCAATGTATTACAATTTAAAACTTTCGCTTTATTTTCTTATTGGCAGTGGCTTAATAATTTCTTAACATTTTTTTTTAATAACAAGAAGGCTGTTAATATCCCGGCTGCAAACTACGTATAACTCAAACACATAAAAAAGAAAAAAAAAAAAAAGAAACTATCTCATAGCTTCGTTCCACTTCTTTGTATTGTCAGGAAAAACGAGGTGATTTAAGTGCCGAAGGATATTTTTGTTAATTTGATTGAAATGGAGATGTAGAGTGAGAGAGAGAGAAAGATTGAAGGTATGCTGTACCGAGCGCTCCGAAAATCCTTCTTGTCTTCGCACAAAGCTAACATCGAGAGAGATAAGTTCGTGGACACGCGCACTAATTACAGGGGAAACACAAAACACTTTTATTTTTTTCCCCAATCCTATTTTGTTTCTCTATTTATCTGATTTTTACGATCGATTCTCTTTTCTCTTCCCCGATTTCTCGATTTGGAAAGACAACCCATACACTCCGGCACGCGTACACACATCTAAGGCACGCACAAAACATTAAACGCTACAAATCTGATTAAAGGGCTTCGAAGAGTGAAAATGATCAGAAAGAAGAAGCGTTCGTAAAACATGGACACGTCATTAAAAGAGGATAAGTTAACGGTCTACTAAACATACGCCAGAAACGAGGTTTTGCAAAATTTTCATTATCGTTTTCCCGAATGAGATCCGTTGAAGAAGAAAGAAAAAAAGAAGATGGATTTCGGAAAAGGTTTCAGGCGATCAGTTTGTAACCATGGAAGCGATGACGAATGATGGTGTTGCCATGATCCTGAATAGTTTAGTGTGAGGGACCGCGTGAAGACCGTGGTCCAAAACTATCTTCCTCGGATGGAATGCTAATAATGAGCGCTGCGATTATTATCGACAATAATGAGACAAGCCGGGCATATTTTCTGACCCATAAATAAATTCTGAATTTTCCGTAAAACGTTTTGAATGCAAAAATAAATAAAAAAATAAACAGCTACAAAAACTATGCATTGCCAAACGCTCTTCTCCGTCCAAATGATAAGGGCCATACGCCATTTTTTTTTTATAACTAACCGTTATCTTAATCAAAAGTTGGTTATTTTCTCAAGCTTCCAATCGGAGAATGCAGACCAACGGAGGTCTCGAAGGCACAGCGCTAAAAGGCACGACTTACCGAATTATTCGCAAAATCATTTATCAACTTCTGAATGAGATAACGCTTAATTTTGAAAGTTTGTTACCTGGTTTGAAGCACTAGCACTACATTTTGGCGGATAACGAGCGCTAGTGATGCGTAGTTTAGTTTTAGAGAGCGAGTCACACGCTCTTGCCACGCGCAGCCCTTTGTTTCGGGAAAGCGGCGCACGCGGCTGAGTACCGCAAGGTTTGGAAACGGACCAATTTTTACCGCAGTATTTGCCCCGCTTCTTCTCATGCCTAACACTCTAGGAAAAAACAAATCCAGTGTGTCTACATTTTCGTAAAACAATCGGGAGAGCCGATCGCTGGAATCTATGGATGCCGAAACTAAAAATATGCTGTCTTACGAAAACCACACACAGGCACAAAAGAAAACAACGCGCGGCAGTCTACGACAAAAGACGGTGCTTCGCTTTTAACTGCTAAATAGACATGCCTAAGGAGCGTTCGAGAGCAGTAGGTGAGCGTAAGAGACACTCGTCAAACGTATAGTGCTCGAAACTGCGATTTAAGGTACAAAGCCGGGGCAGAAAGAATAGAGGTTTCGGCTTACCTCTTCTTTGTCGGATCGTTCTCCAGTCTCGACCCTGAACCTTCGAACGATGTTTTCAGAATCGCCGTCGCAGGATGCGAGCTGGAACAAAGAGAAAACAAAACAAACGGAAAAAAAATGAAGAGAGGGTATACCGTATATAGTACAGGACTGTATCCAACACATTACCTTCTCGTCTAAACGCGCAAACGAAAAAAAAAAAAAAAAAATCGACTCGCAAAAGAAGAAAAAAAGTAGAAATGTGATGTTTCTCAGTGGGGAAATGACCGCCCACGAGCAACGAGGAACCAGGTAAACTCTGCCATATGCCACAAGAGACACAACATGTACGAAGTCTGGCAAATAATTACGGCCGAAAGGTCAACCGAATCAGCCTCGTTTCTTGTGCCTGTTTCGACTCTTTCGAGGTGCAATCATCAGAGACGTCGAAAAAGGGTCGACGTGTTTATCGATAACTGCGGCGGGTCAACAAACACGGTTTGTCTATGCGGCGCTTCGAAATCGTGACGTAACGGTATCACGTGTCAGAAGAAAGCAGTGTTGGAAAGTACTTTAAGTACATTGCACCTGAAGGACTACTTACAGTAAGTGTAAAAGACGTGCATTTTACTTGAAGCATATTCTCTGAGTGTGTGCTTGTATTTCACTTGAAGTATTTCTTTCTGGTACTTTCCGAGGAAAGTACAACTCAAGACAAGACTTCAAAATACAATCCCCAATATTAAAAGAAAAAAAAAAAAAGAAGGAAAAAAAGAAGCCGTATTGTTACGTTAAATTGCGCTATTGTCTTTCGAGACGTCATCTGGTAATTTCTCTCAGTGAAGTCTATAAGACCAATACAAATAAGTGCCTTACTTTATGATTGTGCTCAATAGTTCGTCAGCGAGAGTAAAAAAAAATAAAAAAAATTGTCAGCGACCTTTGTTTTTAAAGTCTTATAACGCATGATGCATGAAATGCATTATAGGGAATTGGTGAGGAAAGTGATGTGTCACATGACGTATATTTTCCCGCTAAATTTAGCAGGGAAACTGAATGGTTGTCTAGGTCACGAGAGGTGTGTAGTTCACATGACATCAGGTGACGTCACGTGACGCCACCTTTCCTGTTAAATTTAGCAGGAAATGTAGGGAGAGACGGATGGAAGGACAAAATTTTGAGATTGGGGGTACGTTAAAACAATTTCATGCTTTTTACCGTTAGGCAATGAATTCCAGTTCAGAAATCACTGTATTAAGTAATGAAAGGGCTTCAGAAAGAAGCCCTTACTTCGCAAGTGCATTGTATGTATAGTGTTTTCCTTAAACTACAGTGCGCCCGGTGTACTTACTACTTTACTCAAAGTACATATCCTTTAATTTACTTCGTACTTTACACAACACTGGGAGAAAGCCAGGGCTGCTGTTGTTTACGTTCCTTATAAGAGAAAAAAGAAATGTAGCTCAATACCTTTAGTCATTACTCGGCCAGACAATAAAAACAAATACACTGTTCGGCGATACTTCCAAATTAAAACGAAGTAACCCGCTTTGTTTCTTTGTTTTTGTTTCGGAGAATTCCAGCACTAACTTTACGGTTACAGAACCTTCGCCGAGATTTCTACCGTACGGTAACATAGTATAAAAAGCCATTTCCAGTATTTGTCGAGCAAGGAAACGAGACACGGTCAAAAATATAATTTTAACAAAATATACAATGTTCGACGGGCAAGGCCATTGGCAACGGGGGGGGGGGGGGGGGGGGGGGGGGGGGAGAATAAAAATCAAGACGATTTAAATCATGATATATATTATCGTTTAAATCTTCCCGGTTTTCCAAGAAGGATTTAAATTAAACTTTTCCCGCTCAAATATTCCCCACTTCATTCCACCTCGTTCGCCAGGTACGTAATGTCCCTAATGTCCCACTGCAAGTAAATCAAAAAGGGAAAAAAAAATGCAGAAAAAAATAGTGCCCTATTGCAGAAAGTTAAAACGCAAAAAAACAAAAAAAAAAAAAAACAAATAAAGCTTCTTTTTTTTTCAACTAAAAAGTCAAGCTGCATTTGTTTTAATGTAACGGGGTTTACACCAACAAAAATGTTAATTAACCCACTTTAAAATTACAGTAATTTCTTCTTCCGCATTGTTTTCAGTGAACAAATGATTCCTCTGCCAAGTTTAAAAAATGCCAGGCGCACATCTTAAAAAAATGCAGATCTTTGTTGTTGTTTTTTTTTTTACCGCAAGATTTAGCTACGCATCGTCGAACAGTCATTATTTGCCCAAGTGTAGGGCTAGCGGTTCGAACTAGATGCCAAAGTTTCAGAACTAACGGTCATCTCACTCAAAGTTAGAAATGAATTTTCTGAATGTTTCCACGGGAAAATGGCGACCGACGCGGAGCTCTCGAATGCATGGAGCTGAATGCCGCCAACGACCGAAAACGGACGGAACCGGGCCCCACGTTTGCCTCAAAAATTTCTGGAAATCACTTAATTCTTTTGAATGGGGAACGGTCAGTTCTGAAGATTTGGCGTCTGGTACGGACAGCTTGCCCTACACTTTAGCGGATAATGAACGTTCGGCGATGCGTAGTTTCATTTTTGCGGTAAAAAAAAAGAAAAAAAAAAAGAAACATGTAATTTTATTTTTGAACAGCTTGTACATCTAGTGGCTACACCGATTTATATTAAAATAATCTGATTTAAACGAAATAAATCAAATGTATCTCATTTTTTTTTTCTTACAAGACGCTCACTTGAGTCTGTCTCACTCCGTTGATGTGAAGGGAAGAAAAAGAGAAGAAAGTATTGTTGTTGTGTTTGCAGAAACGTATTTAACTGATGGGGGAACCCTAGTTTTGCGGATGCCTTGTAAGATCGAGAGGAAAAGTGGGCAATGTTTAAATTAATAAACAAATAAAAAAAAAAAGAAAACGAAAAAAAAACGATGACAAAATGTTTTCTAAAGCAAAACTGACGAACTAACTACGCAAAGAACCAGCAGGTGTTGCACGACACCTAAGAGCTTTGTATCATGTAAACACAGAAAAAGCATGACTATTTAATTCAACTCACGCGAAACAAAAAAGTCAGAACAAAACTCAGACGTTTTATTCTGTTTGTCGAAACCCGTATACACAGCATGTTAGCCCCTACTGCCCGTAGACTCGCGTTTTTAAAAGCCTCCGCAGTTCCCTTAAGTCAGGGGGTCGAGGTACGTTTGGAGGTTAAAAGTTCTTGTTGCGCCACAACGGTGTCGCAAGCAGCGGTTCGTTTGTGCGTACAGCACAATAACCGGCACGTGATCGTTAGCAATCGAATGCACTTTGAAACAAAGGTCACATTGCTTGTATGGATGCCTATATGTCGGTTCCGCACGATGTATTTGCAATTTCGAAGGCTGTTGAGAATAAAAGTCGCTGAACCGTCATCCTATATGCTTTTCTTCGAGTGCTTTTCTACAAGACGGCTACACAAAGGTGCATTTGCTGGTTCTTGATTTCTGGCGAACTTCAGTCGTTATTCAGAGTGAAGACGAGACAGCTCTTGAGTGTTTGCGTTGTCGCGGGCCAAAATTGAGCCAGCGATAAGGTCACGACTACATGGACGCAAAAAAAACAAAAAAAACAGAGTTAACAAATGCATGTGCAACGTAACAGCGCTCCCGATCACGCGCCTTGAATTCCTATTAGACCGAGCCATTTTCCATGCTTACGATAGTTAGAGGAACAATAAACGACGCGAATAAACAATTCTTTACATAAAAACCAATCGGTAGAGTGGCGAAATAAATGCACCAGCATAAAGGCACGTGGATTTTCCTAAAGTGAAAGTAGGCCTCGTGAAACCGCCCTATATAAAGTAAGAAGTCTGGTTTGGAATGTGACTATATTTTTGTTTCAGTCATTTAAAGGACAGTTCGGCTGGGGCAATTAACGTGCATACCAAACAAATCCCTTCTTTGGTATGCACGTTAAATACCACAACCGAACTTTATTCTTCGTGTGCTTCTGAACTACTAAGCGTTAAGCACACTCGATTACCCCCGCCACGCACACATACAGATTCATGCGATCTGCGTTTGAAGACAGGATGCGGAGTTTAATATGATCAGTGTCGAGGCACAGCTCACGACCTTAACTGGGAAGGTTTTAGGAACTTGCCATTCTTTCGACTCCCATTCAAGACTGCGGTGATTGGCGCTTAGTACGCTTTAAGGAAAATCAGGTGCTCGCAAATTTCTGTAGATCGTATATAACGCGAATAATCGGGTGTCTTACGGGAGGGCCGTACCGCGTAACGGCGTATTGTAAACACAGATCGTAAAGGCGTTACTGTTGTTATAAATCTAAGCGTTCCTTTACTTGTTACCAATTGTGTATACTCAGTTTGAATATGAACAGGTAATGACCGTTAAAATCCATCAGGACGAAACGGTCACCACATAAAATGCATTGTTTAATCTAGCACTGCGTGTAGAAAACGTAACAATAACAACACATTCAAAAGTCACGTCGCCGCTGCAATGCCTTCCAGAAAGTTTCACAAAAAAGGTTCTGTACGGTGTGTTATCTTTTTCAAAACACATTTAAATAACGCAACAAATCTCCGTATGCGGTGCAAAAAAAAAAAAAAATGCATGGCCAAGAAAAAAAAAAAAAAGAGATGCGATTGCCATTTGTCTTGCTACACCTCGATGAGACAGGGGCATAATGCCCTATTCCTTCAGTAAAAACTGGCAGCTATTCGCGGGGTTCAACGTTCGCATCCTAGACAGGAACCTATCAATAACCAAAGATGATAGACGACGGTAAAATCCACACTACACAATACAAGACTCAATACTGAAGGAAAGTTCGCGTCGATTTCAATCGGCAAATTCTCGTCAAATAAAAACGTGTCTCCCGCGTTCCCCGTACGTATACAACCCCGCCGTAGAATGACCCCTTATCTCGACTGAGTGAAAAAGAAATACAAATAAGAATAAGATTTTTAAAAAAAGAGAGCTTCCCATGAAATGGGAACCTTTGAGAGTATATATATGTAAGTTCGAACCTCGGCTGAAATTCAGTTAGTTTCATCGCAGACGTAAGCCTAG